CTGTGCGGCGGCTGCGGATGGCTGGAGGCCGCTCCCCCCGCTCCGCCCGGCGGGTTCGATCCCGGGGTCCCCCGTGGCCGGATCCTCGGCGCCCTTTGCCCCCCGACCCCTCCCGGGCCCGCAGGCAGCGATCGGAGCACGCAGGCACACGCAGGCTCTCGGCTTCTAGACGTTTCCAACCGGGAAGACGCGGGAAGACGCCCCCCCCCCCCACAGCTGCAGCCCGCGCGCCCCGGGCCGAGCGGCGCCATCGTGGCCTCTTGGTGAAGGTGACGAGCTCCCGCGGCCCGCGGATGGCGGGGAGACCCGGGCCCCCCTCTGTGGACAGTTGGGGTGCCGATCCACGGAGCGGCCTCCGCCTGCGGGTGACACGCGTCGCCCCCGTCCAGCCCGCCTCGCTGGTGTGTAACGCGTGGGTCCAGGCCTCCATTCCCCCCCCCCCAGCCCGTGGCTTTCGGCCTTTCAAAGCTGGGGGGCTGCGGATCGCTAATAAAGACGCCCCAGCCCACCCCTCACCGACGTGGCTGCTCTGTGTTCTCGCCTTAACCACCAAAGCCCAGCCTCCCCTGGGGGGTCCGCACCCCAAGGCTGGTCCCAGCACGCTGGGGATCGCCCCGGCCCGTGGAAAGCGCCGCTGACCGTCGAAGGGGACCAAATCGAGAATCCGGCGTCGGTCCCCGGGAATCCTCCATGTGTCACCCTGACTAACGGCTGCTGATGAGAACGAGGAAGAAAAAACGTGGGGGAAGAACATCAAGCGTCTGTACTCAGGCTCTGAAGCCGCTTCATGTGATGAGCTCACCACACCGGATTTGTCGCCGCACAAGACCCGTTTCCAGAGGTGCCGAAGCTCTGGGGCAGTGTTCTCTCTCTCCTCCCCGCTGCTTTACCAGGAAAACCAGATGCTCATGGCAGCCCAGTGACGCCTACGAGAGGGGCTGATGGAGACTAGCACAAAAAGGACCCTCGGATTGCTAATACTTTGATTATGTAGATGGTTAGTGCATTACCTTCTTGTTCTGTGGACCGTGGTAAGGCTCCAAGTTTGGTGAGCTTTCTGAAGAAGAAGAGAAACTGGTTTTAAATCTAAAGCTTTCTGTTTCTAGAACACATACTCCTTTTTTTTTTTTTTTCCAGGCCTGAACTCAGGGCCTGGGTGCTGTCCCTAAGCTTCTTTTGCTCAAGGCTGGCACTCTACCATTTGAGCCACAGTGCGACTTCTGGCCTTTTCTGTGTATGTGGTTCTGAGGAATCAAACTCAGGGCTTCATGCATGATAGGCAAGCATTCTACCACTGAGCCACATTCCCAGCCCTAGAACACATACTCTTCCCAGAATAGACAGCATGCAGCAAGTAGAAAAGGACTTAAGGAAGAAAAAAAAATCACAGGGAATGTGTATGTGTGTGTGCGTGCACCAATACTGAAGCTGGAACTCAGGGCCTGGACACTGTTCCTGAGGTTTTTCACTCCAGGCTAGCACTCTACTACTACACCACAGCTCTACCTCTGGCTTTTAACTGGTTACTTGGAGATAAGAGTCTCATAGACTTTCCTGCCCAGGCTGGCTTCAACCTTTACAGTAGCTAGGATTACAGGCCTGAGCTACAAGCACCCACCTTGGAATTGGAATTTAAGGAAGGCTTCCTGATTGATAGTTAGATGAGACGCCCTGGCGAGCATATGTCATCAGGGCCCATGCTTCAGCCCTGTCCTGGTGGTGCGGTCATGGGCAGGAGCAGGGAATTGGTGGCTCCTCAGGATGCACGGGACAGATACAGCACATGTCCTTGTTATCTGGGAGGTAAATAAGGTAGAGGCAGGAGGCTCGTGTTTGCAATTCAGGTCTGGAGGAATGGCGTGGATGACTGGCCAGCCCAGCCCACCTGCCATCTTCTAGGGCCAGCCTAGCACTGAAACCCACGTTTGCTAGCACTTGTTGTTTCTTGAACACCTACTACAAGCCAATGGGCCTGTGCAGGCAGGCAGACCTGACCCGTAAGTAACTACATAAGTAAAAATCCAACTCTACCCTTGGTGTTACCAGCGCTGAAGGAAACAGTCTGAAGACAGCGTTAGGATAATGAAGATGCCCTTCCTGTTGTGTCCGTGTGGCAACTCTGAGGAAACAGACTCAGGAAGGAGGCAGGAAGGGAATGGCCTCTTTTTGGTTAAAGAATTTAACTTTGTAGGAAGAACCTACTCTGAAAGCCCCAGGACCATACAGGTTCACAGATGGATTCTACCAAATATGTAAAGCAATTAGTAACTCTGTAGCAAGTTCCAGAAATGTGAAGGAGAGCTTGCATTTTGCAGTTGATGTTGTAAGGTTTTCATTACCCCATACCAAAACCAATCAAAGGAAACTCCAGGCCTGTCTCCCATATGAAATACTGGACAGTGATTTATTCCAGGAATGCAAGGATAGTTCAATATTTGGACAGTCATGAGCATACCTTGCCTGATCAGTGAAGTAAAATGGAACATACAGAAAAACCATTTAGCAAAATCCAATATCCATTCCTGATTATAATTCACAGCAACCAGGAGCAGAAGGAAATGTGCTCAGCCCAGTACCAGCCTGCAGACAGGGTTGGTCAACCCTACCCACCTCGAGGGAGCACTGAGTGAATCTTCCCACCAGAGGCCTTGGGCTGTGCTGGACGGGTTTGTGCAGACAGTCTAGGAGTGTGATTTTCCGGTGAAAGTCTGCATTCCCTTGGAGATCTGGAGCTTCCGTAATAGTGCGGTCCCATTGACTGTGCATCTGAATTGCAGAAGACTCCAAGTCCCCGGTTTAGGTGAATGGTGGCCGGCAGTGCCCGGCACAAATTCTCACACCCCTGTGCAGGGAACCATCTATCATCTGTACCTAGCCAATCACCTGTCTCTGTAGATCTGTGTATCTCTATCGTCTATATGTATTACCTATTGTTTGTCTGTGTCTGTCGTCTGTCCTTCAGTCCTCTATCATCTATGCCTACCTAATCCATCGTCTACATCTAACCATCAGTCATCTTTATCATCTATTATCTGCATCTGTCTAATTTATATTGTCTATCATCTCTCTGTATCTCTGTATACATCCACCCGTCCATCTACCTATTATGGATCTCTGTCTGTCTGTGTCTGTCCACCCTCTTGTGAGGGCTCTGAGCACTCTCTGGGTTGGAGGTGCCGCAGGCAGGTGCCTCCAGCACCCCCACATTTGGGCTCTGGGTGCACGCGTGGTGTGAACTTGGTTTTTTCCCAGCCCAGGTGAGCTGGGCCCAGGGAGCTGCATGTCCACCTGGGCACCTCTCTCTTCACCGATGGCTCCACACCGGTCCTTCCAGCCTTCCCCTGGGCATCTTCAGAAGGACTCAACCCAGGCCCCCTTGCCCTGGGCCACGCCCTCTTGCGGTTGTGGGTGGAGCAGGGTGCGTTGGGGAGTCGCAGTGCTGGTGCCAGTGCAGAACACAGTCTCAGCAGCCTAGAACGTGTGCGGTAGAACCCCTCGCTCAAAGCTGAGGCTCCCGGCCCCAGGGTGCCTGCTCCCCATCTCCCAGCAGCCCAGCGACTGCCAGGCACCAAGGAAAAACAGGAAAATGCACAAAGCCTTCCCGGGAGTTTCCAGACATTAGAAAGTCAAAATTATGAGCCCTCTTCATGAACTCAGGTGCTGTACCCACTCACAGACCGGGTACTCTGCTCACTGATGGGGTACTCTGCCCAGTACTGTGCTAGTACTTTATTCCCTGGCTACTGTGATTTGCACTTCACTCACTGACAGGGTAGTGTGCTTGATACTTTACTACTCAGATCAGGTAGTGTACTTGATACTTGCTGGTTTGGCTTGGCTACTGTGCTTAGTGCTTCACTTCCTGACAAAGTACTGTGTTTGGTACTTTACTACTCAGACTCAGGTACTGTACTTGGTACTATACTCGCTGGCTTGTCTTGGTTACTGTGCTTATTAATCACTCCCTGACAGGGTAGTGTGCTTGTTACTTCACTACTCAGACTCCGGTACTGTACTTGGTACTCACTGGCTTGGCTTGGGTACTGTGTTTAGTTCTTCGCTCCCTGACTTAGGCTCCGTAAGCAAATGTCTGAACAGTTTGAACACAGGAAGAGAGCAGCAAGGCGCCCTCAGCAGAGCAGCAGGCTTTGCTGGGGAGGGGAACCAGGTCTCCCCCAGCCCAGCCAAGAGAAGGCAGCGCACCTCCCTGCAGCCCGGCCCCTCCTTAATCCCACAGGAATCCGAGTTGGGGCGGCTGGGCTGCCCTCGGCGGCAGGGTGGAAGCCGGGGAGCAGGTGGGGCTGGAGAGCAGCGTCCCTCGAGCCACAGGGTAGATGCGTGGACACCGGGTGCAGCCTGGCCACGGGCGCTGGTCACAGGCCTGGCCCTGGGTCACAGGGCTGCAGGTGTGTCTGGGGAGGGAGCCGGGGAGATGATTGGCCAGGGTGGCAGCCAGGGCAGTTCTGGTGTTTTCCAGGATGTGGCCGTCTAAGGGGAGATGAGTGTTTCTACTTGGTTATTCTGGTTCGGGTGCTGTGCTTGGTGCTCCACTCGCTGGCTCCGTACTGGACTGGACCACGTTATCTCATCTGTCCTGACGAGGAAGGAGCCTTTCGCCCTCGGCTTTGGAAGGGGGAAACTGAGGCCCAGTTAAAGGAGCGGGAGCTTTTATCCCCGCAGGATGGCCCGACTCTTCTTCATATAATGACACTCACACCAGAAGTGGCTCGGTTTATTTGCTAGAACACGTTCTTGGTTTAAAAAAAAAATCTAAGAAATCAAATAGTTAATGCATCACCAATATTGATGTCTGTGGGTGGGTGTATGGGACAGAGACAGAGACAGACGGACAGAGAGACAGACAGAGACAGAGAGATCTGGCAGGAACGAAGCACAGACCAGCAGCTCTGGTTCGCTCTGGAGGCGGCGGCTAAGTGCTGGGAACGGAGATCTCACAGAGGCCCTGGCGTGGCCACCGAGGGTGTGGCGGGCCCTGGCGTGGCCACCGAGGGTGTGGCGGGCCCTGGCGTGGCCGGTGCTGGTGCGGCGGGCCCTGGCGTGGCCGGTGCTGGTGCGGCCCCCCCCAGCCGACTGTCCTCCGCCCCACGTGTTCACAGAGATGCCCCCCACCCCTCGAGTTTAGAACACGGGTGTGCAGAAGAGCCACGCGGGGCGGGCCCCGGGGGAGAAACGGCTCTCCACGAACGAGGACGCCCGCAGCACTCAGAGCCGTCCCCCCTGCTCTCTCCGCGGCCCCCAGGAGATGTTCCACAAGGCAGAAGAGTTCCTGCCGCCAGTGGCGGACAGGGAAGGGGACGCCATGGACACATCGGACACGCAGTGGGGCTGGTTCTACCTGGCCGAGTGCGGGAAGTGGCACATGATCCAGGTACCCCCCACCCCCACCTCGCCCGCACCACCCCACCGCCCTTGGGTGCCCCCCCCCAAAGCCCACACTGACTCAGAACCTTCCAGAACCTTCCAGTGCTTTCCCTGCCCATTTCCCCACCTCTCCACGGTACTCCGTTGAGAAGAAACAACATTTTTGGGGCTGTGCGCCGGGAGCCGGCATCGTGGAGACTCGGGGTGGGGGTGGTACCCGCATGGCACGGGCCACGGGGGGAGGAGAGCTCAGCCACACCCAGCGCCGGCCACGGGCCTCCCGCGCCCCGGCCACGCGCCTCCCGCGCCCCGGCGTGCGGTCGGGCACGCCTGTGCTTTCTCTCACACTCGTGGCATCTCGGAGCTCACACCCACTCGGGTCCCACGGCCGAGCACCTGACACAAAATCGAGCGGGGAGCAGCGATTGGAACCCAGACCCACAAAGGCTGTGCTTGTGGTTTTACTTTCTTCTTTAAAACAAGCTGTTTAAGATTGAATCTGAAGCCAGGCACCGGTGGCTCCCGCCTGTTGTCCTAGCTACTCAGGAGGCTGAGATCTGAGGATCAAGGTTCAAAGCCAGCCCAGGCAGGAAAGTCTGTGAGACTCTGATCTCCAGTGAACCACCAGAAAACCGGACGTGGCGCTGTGGCTCAAGTGGTAGAGCGCCAGCCTTGAGCTGAAGAGCTGAGGGACAGCGCCCAGGCCCTGAGTTCAAGACCCACAACCAACAAAAAAAAAAAAGAAAGAAAAGAAAAGGATTTAATTGGAACTACTCAGAAAGTGTGAAAAGTTGGGGATGATTGTAAAAATCTAGTAATTTCTGAGAAGTGATCATAGCCAATTGTTGGGTGATACCGTGAGCAGCCTTTACTAGAAATCTGCATCATTTCTAATACGGCAGGAGAGACAGACAGGAAGATGTTAGCAAGCCTCCCTCCCTCCCTCCCTGCCTCCCTGCCTCCCGCTGCCCCCCACAAGGTGCCCCCAAAGAAGCCTGTACTGACACAGAACCTTCCAGTGCTTTCCCTGCCCACTTTCCCTGCATCTTCCATTTAGAAGAAACATCACTGTGCACCGCAAGCCTGCCCTCCCTCCCTGGTTCCCTCCCTCCCTCCTTCCTTCCTTTTGATCATAGCACAACTTCAGTGAAGCCCTGGTAAGGGGAACTTTCTGGTTTGTTTTAAAGCCGGATGCCAGCATTCAATGTTCCGTTAGCAGTGAAGACATCGAGAAAAGCTTCCGAACGAACCCTTGTGGCTCCATTTCTTTTACTACCTCCAAGTTCAGCTACAAGATCGATTTCGCAGGTGCGTCCCCCCCGGAGCCCTGGGCCGGCCGTCGGTGTGTGGGTGCCGGGTCAGTCCTTAGGTTACACAGCAAGACACTCGCGAGGCTGAGATCTGCGGAGCCCGGCAGGAAAGGCCATGAGACTCTTTTATCTCCAACGAACCTCCAGAAAACCGGAAATGGTGCTGTGGCTCAAGTGGTAGAGCACCAGCCTTGAGGGGAAAAAAAGATGTTCAGAGACAGTGCTCAGGCCCTGAGTTCAAGTCCCAGGGCCGGCACCAAAACACAAAACAAAACACCAGCTCGATACAAATGGAAATTTCTTCCTTTAAGAACAAGAAAAACTTTGTCTCTTGCTGAAAGCTTTAATGGAGTCTCACCGGGGTTTGAACTTGGATCGCTGGCATTGGAGTCCAGAGCACTAGCCACTATACCATGGGACCTGCTAAGAAGTTCAGGATTTGAACGCTTAGCCACGCTGGCCTCTTATAAGAGCGTGCGCATGCGTTCGGGCGCAGTAACGTATTCGGAGACTGACGCTTGCGTGGAGGTCATGTGAGTCTCTCCTTAGACAAGCGCACACTCTTCATAACTCCTGTGTCGCCGTGCTGTCCTGGCCGGCCCCAGCCCTGGCCTCCCGAGGATGCGGGATTCGAATCTTGGACCACCATGACTGACTTGGAGTGCTTGTTTGAGTGCTCCTTACAGTTGGCCTGGAAATCATTCTAGATGATTCCAGGGATCATGCATGGGAAGCGAGGGGCTCCGGCAGGCCGCCCGCTCTGGGTGCGTGTGCACAGCACCGGTCGCCCTGTGTATCCCGGCTTCCCCGGCTCCCCCGCAGCTGAGCCAGCTCAGCTGGAAGTCAGTGCCACCGGACACCGTCGGGGCCCTGGCCGGGGGGCGCTCAGGGTGCCTCTACCCTTTGAGCCACGGCGCCACTTCCGGTTTTCTGATGGTTCATGGGAGATCAGAGTCTCACAGACTTTCCTGCCCAGGCTGGCTTTGAACCGTGATCCTCAGATCTCAGCCTCCTGAGTCGCTGGGATGACAGGCGGGAGCCTCCCGTGTCTGGCTTCGCTCACACTTTTCTCCACTCAAAAGCTCACAGAAGCTTCAGGGCAGGCCCGCCTCCCCTCTTCCCCCCGCCCCGCCCGCAGCTCTCCTAAGTGCGGGGCTCCTGTTGCCTGGTGAGCCCAGCATCAGCAGGGAAGGAAGATCTCTGCAGGCGGAGCAGGGCGTGTCGGGGCGGGCGGGGGAGTGTGGGCGACTGAGCCCCGAGGAGCCCGGTCTCAGGTGCCACCGGCCCCCCGCGGCCCGGTCCCCCCGTCCGGCCCCGCAGCGCGCCGGTGCACGGCCCTCCGCGGCTCTGACCCCTCTGCTCTGTGAACAGAAATGAAGCAGACGAATCTCAGCACGGGCAAGCAGCGCCTGGTCAAAAGGGCCCCCTTCTCCATCAGTGCGTTCAGGTGAGTCGCCGGGCCGGGCCGGGCCGGGGGCGCGGGGCCCAGCACACGCCGGGCAGAAGCAGCCGCACCACCCTGCACAGCTGGTCCCGGTCCTCGCAAGCGATGCCGTGGACGGGGCTGGGCAGGTGGCCCAGTGGTGGAGTGCACACCCAGCGTGCGTGTGGCCCTGGGTTCGACCCCTCAGCGCCATATACACAGAAAAAGCCGGAAGTGGTGCTGTGGCTCAAGTGGTAGAGCGCCCATCTTGAGCACAAAAGCAGCTCAGGATTCCTCGTCAAAGACAGCTCAGCTGGCAGGGTTTCTGGCTCCGATGAGGGGGTGCTGGCCGTGTACCTGCGGGTGCTGGGTGACACACCAGGCCCCGATGCAGACCCAGGCATGAGGAAGATCTCATACAAGGTGATCAAGTGAAGAAGCAGCATGCTTGTCGCTGCTCTGTGTGTTCACACGTGTGCATGTGTGTGTGCACACGCACGCCCATCCTGGGTCTTGAACTCTGGGCCTGGGTGCTGTCCCTCAGCTCTTCAGCTCAAGGCTGGCGCTCTACCCCTTGAGCCACAGTGCCACTTCTGGTTTTCTGGTGGTTCATGGGAGATCAGAGTCTCACGGCCTTTCCTGCCTGGGCTGGCTTTGAACCGCGACCCTCAGATCTCAGCCTCCTGAGTGGCTGGGGCCAGCCCCTGGCGGTGGCTCTGATTTTCTTTTCTGCTGCCTCGTGTGCCGTCCTCTGCAGCTACGTCTGTGAGAACGAGGCCATCCCCGTCCCCTCTCACTGGGAGTGTGTGCACACGGACGTCCCCTACCAGGTAGGAGCAGGCCGGGCCGGCGGGGGGGCGCGGCGGAGGACTGGCCCTGCACGCCCGCTCTCGCAGCTCATCCCTCTGCACACGCAGACGCATGAGTACAACGAGGTGGCCGCGCTCTTCGGGAAGACCATGGACCGAAACCGGATCCGGAGAATACAGAGAATTCAGAACCTAGACTTGTGGGAGTTCTTCTGCAGGTGAGTGCGTGGCGCGGCGATCCGTGGTGGGTGCCCTCTCCCACGCACCCGCCCCCCACACCCCGAGTCCTCGCGAGGCGCGGAGACGGCACCCACTTCCTGAGAGAGAGGAGAGTGGCGTGCGGGCAGGCGCCAGGCAGGACGGGCAGCAGAGCTGCTCCCCGGGCTGAGCGCGGCCACAGGCCAGGCTCTGGCGGGCTCAGCCACGCATGCTCACCAGCCGGACCGCACCCCATGGGCACAGCCGACAGACCGCACCCCCCCCCCGCACACCCGACAGACCACACCCCTGCACACCCGACAGACCACACCCTGTGTGCACACCCGACAGACCACACCCCCCTGCACACCCGACAGACCACACCCCCCTGCACCAGAGACTGCACCTGCGTGTTCACCAGACGGACTTCACCCCGTGTGCTCACCAGACTGCACCCTGCATGCACACCAGACTGACAGACCATGTACACACCAGACAGACAACCTCGCATGCACACCAGACAGACTGCACCCTGTGTGCACACCAGACTACCCCACGTGCACATCAGACTGACAACCACTGTGGGCACACCAGACAATCTTGTGTGTACCCCAGACAGAACCCCTGCACACCAGACAGACTGCACCCCTGTGCACAGGGGTCTGCGTGAGCGTTCCTCAGGGTTTCCATCTCCACACCCAGCTGTGCACACCGCACCACGCCTGTGCCCCAGGCCTCTGTCCCCAGTACCCAGCCTTTGTCCTTGGTCCCCTGCCCCTAGCCTGTCTCCCTGGTTCCCAGTCCCCAGCCCGTGTCCCTGGTCCCCAACCCCCAGCCTGTCTCCCTGGCCCCCAGCCTCTGTCCCCAGTCCCTGGCCTGTCTCCCTGGCCCCCGGCCTGTGTCCCCAGTCCCCGGCCTGTCTCCCTGGCCCCCAGCCTGTGTCCCTGGCCCCCGGCCTGTGTCCCCAGTCCCCAGCCTGTCTCCCTGGCCCCCAGCCTGTGTCCCCAGTCCCCGGCCTGTCTCCCTGGCCCCCGGCCTGTGTCCCCAGTCCCTGGCCTGTCTCCCTGGCCCCCGGCCTGTGTCCCCAGTCCCCAGCCTGTCTCCCTGGCCCCCGGCCTGTCTCCCTGGCCCCCGGCCTGTGTCCCCAGTCCCCAGCCTGTCTCCCTGGCCCCCGGCCTGTGTCCCTGGAAGGCCTGCGTGTTTCCCTGCTGCTCACCCAGGCCCGGACAGCGAGGCATCGCGCTGTCTACGTCCGTTTCTTTTTCACCTTTAGCGTTCTTTGTAAACGTACCACTGTGTGCCTGTGTATTTTTTCCGTGGAACCCTTCCAGCTTTCCTCGGTCTCCCTGTTAGGATCGGCCCGGCGGCACGTTCTTTTCTGGGTGCCAGGGGCGGTTTGGGGGGCGGGGGGCGACGCTGGGTTCTGCAGGTGCCAGGTCCGGGACGGAGGGACACAGAGTCAGAGAGGGCTCGAGCCTCGGGGTGTGAGGCCTTCCCTCCGTGAGCGCGGGGCCGGCCCTGTGGTCTCCGCGGTGGGTGCCTGGAACGCTTGGCGGTTCTGGAATTGAATCACCATCGTAAGACGGTTTACCTGTCCAGGAACATTCGAAACCGTTCCTTTCTCCGATTTGCTTTGTCCGCCCGCGATTTAGATGAGAGCAGCCCTCCTCCCGGCGTCGGCGTCGGCGTTGTTCCTTTTAGCCTTCCTGTCGAACGTTTGCTGTCTTAAAATAAAATGCGTGCATGCCACCGTGTGCCTCCAGGAAGAAGTCCCAGCTGAAGAAGAAGAGAGGCATCCCGCAGATCAACGAGCAGATGCTCTTCCACGGCACCAGCAGCGAGTTCGTGGAGGCGATTTGCATCCACAACTTCGACTGGCGGATAAACGGCATGCACGGCGCTCTCTTGGGAAAAGGTGTGTGTGTGCACACGCGCAGCCGGCCGGCCAGGGCGGGGTCCCGGGCGGCCTCCACCACGGGGAGGGCTGGGGGAGGGGGCACCCAGGCGCCCCTCAGCACCAGGTACTTGGTCCACACACGGGACCAAGAGCCACGCACCTTGTCACCACAGGCCCTGGCGTGGGCACGGGCCCCAGACCAGCACACGCATGGGTATAGGCACTGACACTGCTGGGTTAGACACTGACACTGGGTTAGACACTGACACTGGGTTAGACACAGACACTGGGTTAGACACAGACACTGGGTTAGACACAGACACTGGATTAGACACAGACACTGACACTGGGTTAGACACAGACACTGGATTAGACACAGACACTGACACTGGGTTAGACACAGACACTGGGTTAGACTGGGTTAGACACTGACACTGGGTTAGACACAGGCACTGGGTTAGACACAGACACTGGGTTAGACACAGGCACTGGGTTAGACACTGACACGGGTTAGACACTGACACTGGGTTAGACACAGACACTGGGTTAGACACAGACACAGGCACTGGGTTAGACACAGACACTGGGTTAGACACTGACACTGGGTTAGACACAGACACTGGGTTAGACAACTGGGTTAGACACAGACACTGGGTTAGACACAGACACTGGGTTAGACACAGACACTGGATTAGACACAGACACTGACACTGGGTTAGACACAGACACTGGGTTAGACACAGACACTGGGTTAGACACAGACACTGGGTTAGACACAGACACTGGATTAGACACTGACACTGGATTAGACACAGGCACTGGGTTAGACACTGACACAGGGTTGGTGTAGGCACAGGCGCTGGAGACCTGGGCCCCCATCCCGTGGCCGCCCCGCTGCGGGGCCGGCCTCACGCCTGGCCTCCCCCGGCCCCCTCCGGCTGCAGGCACCTATTTTGCGAGAGACGCGTCCTACTCGAGCCGCTTCTGCAAGGATGACCTGCGCCACGGCGACACGCTGCAGATCCACGGCGTGGGCCCGCGCCCGCGCCCCGCGCCCCGCGCCTGCAGGTCCATGTTCCTGGCCCGCGTGCTCATCGGCGACTACATCAGCGGCGACCCCAAGTACATGCGCCCCCCATCCAAGGACGGCAGCTACGTGAACCTGTACGACAGCTGCGTGGACGACACGTGGAGTCCCCGCATCTTCGTGGTCTTCGACGCCAACCAGATCTACCCCGAGTACCTCATAGACTTCCTCTGAGCTCCGCGCGCACGCGGCTCCCACCGTGGCGGCCGCCATATAAAACTCGTACTGACCACGAGGCTGGTGATGCTGTGGTTGTTTAGGGTTCGGTGGTGTTTGGTGATCCACGGCTCGCGGGGGCCAGAGAACCCCGGAAGCTGGTTTTGTTGAGTCTTATTTATTTTTGCTATTTATTCTCGTGCTGGCACTGGGCCTCGAACTCAGGGCCTGGGTGCTGGCCCTGAGGATTTGTTCTTGTTTGTTTTTGTGTTTTGTCTTTGCTCAAGGCTGGCGCTCTACCACTTGAGCCACAGCTCCATTTCTGGCTTTTTGCCGGCTCATGGGACAGAAGAGGGTTTTCTTCCCCAGGCTGGCTTTGAACCCGGATCCTCCGACCTCCGCCTCCTGAGTAAGCGGGGATGACAGGCGTGAGCGCAGGCGCCCGGCTGGCCTCGGGCTCCCGAGGGGCGGTCGGCAGCCTCCCCGTGGGTGAGCGGATCCGGGGTGAGTGGCACGGAGGGGAAGTTTGCTTCCCCGGCCCGTCTCTCCAGCCCGCCCATTGTGAGGGAGAGAAGAGCGCATGCGCGGACCGGGCCTCGCGTGCACTGACCTGGACGGCTTCTCAGGACACTCCCAGCCTTGGGAATGGCCCGGATGACTGCGGTGTGTCCGTCTACGTTGGCTTTTCCGTGACTCTCCCCAGAACGCGCCCCCCCCATCCCTCCTCCTCGTGGCTGCCCACGCTCCCTCCAGTACGTGTCCACGCGGTGTTGTCCTCAGAAGCTCTGGGCAGCGGCATGCCAGGAGGCCGCTGGACTGTTCAGAGAAACAGAATGAGCCGGGCGCCGGAGCTCACGCCTGTCATCCCGGCTGCTCAAGGAGGCTGAGATCTGAGGATCACGGTTCAAGGCCAGCCCGGGCAGGAAAGTCTGTGAGACTCTGAACTCCAATAAACCACCAAAAAACCGGAAGTGGCGCTGTGGCTCAGGCGGTAGAGCGCCAGCCTTGAGGGAAAGAGCTCAGGGACAGCGCCCAGGCCCCGAGTTCAAGCCCCACAACACACACACAAGGAATAGTAGGAATTCTGATTTTGTTTTCTTGCTATTTGTGTGGGGGACAGCTTGGCCCAGCTCCCCTCAGCTACACCCCTCCCCTCCCTTCTCCCCTCCCCTCCCTTCTTCCCTCCCCTTCCCTCTTTTCTCCTCCCTCTC